GTAAAGTAAATATTTAGCTTACTTTGTTATATCTTTGTTATCTACACTTCCACAGTATACATGAAAACAAAATATCTTCAAGTCTTAAAGTCTACTGTCTGGTCTTCACATATATACACTTTATAAAACCAGCCAAAAATATTATATTATAAATATTATTACCCTGTGACTTGTGATATTTCAAGTACGAGTTTAACCTTTGAATTGTTAAATTACAACATTACAAATAAGAATTGAATTTTATATTATTTTCCGTATGTAATATTTGATTGACAGACTAATATTGTATTCTGGCTTATTTAATTAAATTATAACACCAGCAGCTACCAATTCTCACCATGATGGAGAGCAATATTCCAGGGTTTAGGTGTTAAATTATGAGCCAATATCACTCTATTTGACAATTAAGTTTTGTACTTCTACTTAATTGATTAGATCTTCCATATAGAAATTACTTGTTCCTGAAACTTTGCTTTCAGTAATTTATTCTACACCAGTGATGTGGTGTCTTTGTGCATTTTTGGAGAAAAAAGTATTTCTGATGGCTTCTTGTAATTTTGGTATAAGTTCTGTGCTTCCTGAAAAAAATTATCTTTGATCCCTACCATTATATTTCTATATATGATCCACACAGACTTGCTGAAATTGGACAGTAAAAGACTTGGAAATGTGGATTATCAATACAAATGGTACAATATCATGTTCACAATTAATAGAGACAGCTTTACCATTTCAATAAGTGGACGAATGTGACAAATTGAGATTTTCCATGTGCTGGATTTGAATCTTTTAAGGCTCTAATTTCTGAATTAAATAAATTCACATATTGATCAAGATCCAAATTTTGGTTCAATGTAATGATCTATTTTTGGTTCAATATTTGTTTAGAAATTATATCTGTTTACATTATCAAGGTTTGGTTTGGTACAAATTTTGGTCTTTACTTGGCTGAAATCACACTATAAAGATTTGAAGAGTAGAAACAACACAATAATGAAAAATGGATTAAAAAAAAATCTTGAATGTATAAAGGAAAATTTCTGAATTAATGTGTTAATTGTTTAAATAGTCTCGATCTTGTTATTCTGAAATTTAATGTGAAATTTTCCTGAAATATGGTGACAATTGGACAAAATATTTTTAAAAATGTGTCAGATATGCAATGAATGGATAACACAAAAACTGTCAAGATTATTATTCTGAAAATGTGTGTTTGAATGTATACAAAATTTTCAGATCAGTCAAACTAAGTGTGTTTTCTGATTAAACATACAGTTGTTAAATAATATTTTTTCTTCAGTTTAAGAAAAACAGAAAAATCAATTCTGAAGAAATAAAGGAAAAAAACTTACTGTTAGTAAAATATAAAATTATTCTAATTGATTAATACCAATCTAATAATTTGACATTTATTCTGACTAATTATTAAGTAGTCAATGAATAATTTACCAATTATATATATATATGGTAATTGAAGGAAAGGTTTCCTGTAATGTTTTTTTAGGTCAAATACGGCCAAAGATGGAATTTTCAGTCTTATGGCAGTAGTAAATGTGTTCTTTGCAATATGCTTAGACAAATAATGAGATTTCAGAATGACTAAATTTTATAGAAGAATTTGAGCCAGGGTCAATATTAAAAAACTCCATTATGATGTTTGTGTTCCAGTCATCTGCAATCATCAAAATTGATTTTAAACCTAGCTTTGTTTACAAAGTTTTGTTTATAAACCAATTCAGTTAAATGTGTATAAATTCTTGAAACAAACACCTGGGTTTAGACTCCACAGATTACAAGGACTTATTCCTTTTAATATAGCTTCAAACTGAATATGTATTAATCACCTATTTGCAATAGCAATTTGTTTGTGTAATATGAAAAGAGCCATGTTTCTGCCAAATGTGTGCTTGTTGTAATCCAGTTTTATATAAGTGAGATTCAGGATTAAACTCAGGCTAGAATTTAAATGTAGAATTAATCAGGAAATGAAATGGAAGATTCTGATTCTGAAGTTTCAATGGATAGTCAGGTAAATCTCCATTATTTTTATTTATGAAAGGTATGTGCGAATGAAAAAATATTTTTAAGTTTCATATCTAGCTATTCATGAACATTTGTTTCAAAAATTGTGTACAAGTCCATTTTTCTATTTTTCAAATCTTAAATATGCTTTTAAATGATTCAGATTAGCTTTTTACAATTATTGCACAACGTACTGGTATTTTAGTAATTTTACAATAAGGTTAAATCCTCATAGCTCTGTTATTCTTCAAACTCTTGAGTTAAAGTTCAAGTTCTCTGTGCAATCTCCAAGGTAATAAGTACTTTGAAAGGTCTCTGATCATTCAAAGAATGTTTACCCTTTTTAAAAAACCTCAGATGCCAATTTGCAATAAAGTTTGTCTTCTCACACCTTCTTCCATTTAAAGTTGGTTATTGAAAGCACTATAGATCTTTTATAAATTATTTGAAGATCTTGAAGCAAATGTAATAAATAAACTTTTATAACAGAAATAAACTATAAGTAAAAAACCATTATTATGTTTTATCTTCAACCTATTATTGTAGAACCATTCACCTTGATGTCACACAATACACTCTAGCGCGTGAAAAAATACCACAACATTTAATAGGTATACAGATTAACAATGGCTATTTTCATAATCATTTTTATAAAGTCCTTATCTATTGTTGATTGTGTTTCTTAGCAATATTATAATTTTAATGATTTCTTGAGAAAATTAGTGTCTTTCCTCAAATCAAGTCACTTTAATAGATTGTTAAACTAAGAGGATTTTGTGCTTTCTGTCATTGGAATCCTGATTGTTTAAATTTGTACAGATTGTGATTCTGTGTCTATGAGAAGGATGCTGGATGTCAATGATTTAGTTTAAGAATTTGGAATTGATATCATTTGCCTAGTCATAGTTTTGAAATAAATAAATCTGGATAATTTAGGAAATATCATATTTGAATGATTTTGTGTTCTAAAAGAGACAGTTCTTTATCAAAGCATACTTTTAATTAACTCAAAATTGATAAATGTACCGGTACTGGATCTTTGAAGTCAATTCCAAATGTTATGAAGATATATAAGCTAATTGTATGTATTTCATAACATATGATACTATGCAGTAATTTGTCACACTTCAAGTCATGAAATCATTTCACTCTTCAGTGCTTTGAATATATATAATTTCCATGTTACAGTCAATTTTCAACTCTATGTTAGGATAACACTATGTCAATGTGATATGACAGAAATATTCTATGTATGACTATAACCAACAGATTTTATGTGATGTTCTTGAATACAAATGTATGAGATTATGAGGCCTCAAAATAGGAAGGTTTGTATTGTAGTCTTTAAGATAGCTTTAATATGGTTCAACTGGGCAAATTGCTGAAACGGAATTGTTAAGGTGCTAAAAATTGTCTAAAATTTTCATGTGGCATTGAGTGGTAGATGTCAGTGCCTGAGACTAATATTGTACAGGACTTAAGTTACTACTTAAGATACTATGTTAGCAGATATCTTTAAAATACATTAATTTCTAAACATCTTGTTTTGTTTTGAAGATACATTCCTTATGAGATTCACAAGAGTTTTACTTCTTAGTTTCTTGACTTATGATGGCATAAATAAAACAACAAGACAGAACCTTCTAAACAACTAAGGCACCTCAGCTCTGGAGAAAAGGCCACTAGGATGAGTAACACAAAATTGTATTATAACAACATAACATTTATTACAAATAATTATAATGTACTTTATATAATAAATTATTCTTGTGGCACAGATTCTTACTAAGTTATTGATTTGACATGTGTTTTATGGTAATTTGAAATGTAAATTTTACTTCAATTTTTTAAATAAGCTTACATTTAATACAGGTGTCTACATCTTAGTATTTTGGTTGTGTTTTACTCTATATATATTTATGCAATCCAAAGTTGAAGGCTTAACTTGTGTTATTGAAACATATAGGGAAAATATATTTTAAGAAACTGTCAGTCATATTATCGAAGAATGACTAAAACTAATAAACATTCAAGTTCTAGAAGAAAACGAGTTAGTAAGCTTATTATTTAAATTGTTGAATCTGAATCTGTTACTGATAATATGGCTGTTCACTGTCAGTGTTTCTGCTTTTGCTTGCTAGCTTGATGGCCAGGTCAGAGACAGATAAGGCCCTGTACCCTACAGGCGACAGGTAGAAGTAAATTAGAAGTAAAAAAAAGAAGGTTAATGCATCTGTCCTGGCTCTAGTTTTCATTCATTGTACATACATCAAATGACACTGGCAATGCAACATTTGAGCCCAATCAGATGCACAGAAAAGTAGGATGGAAAATTCTATAATTTCATTTCTTCATTGTAATTATCAGAGTTTTAGTAGATTCTGTTGACAGTTCAGTATTGATTACTTTGAAAGACTGATTGATGTCATTAGAAGGACTGTATCTCAGTATTATCACAATACATGTATCATGTTCAGGTTATTTTAGTCAAATGAGTTGTAAACTAGGCATGATAGAGACAGAAAATACCATCAGGTTTAAACAATAGCAGCATTACAATGTGTATTATGTAATTCTTTTTTTAAGATAAAAATACATCATGCATTCATATTCAAATAATAAGTTGGACATTAAACTTTGAATATTGACTGATTCTACTTTAGTATATAACATGTATTGATAGTTGATAAAACAACTGATATGATAACAACAAATGTTAGAAACATTCAGAATTAATGGAAAGTTTTTTTTATTACCGGTACTAACTTAATTGCTTAATGATGTTTCAATATGTTCCATTGATTACACATTACAAAGTGGATATGGCAAAACTTAGCAAAAATCATTTCATGAGTATAATTAGGTAAAATATTACGTAGTTAAAAACTGACAAAACCACATACTAAAAGCAACAGTTCTAAATGCATATTTTTTTCCTTATGATATAACCATCGTGAATATTCATCATATACTAAGTGATGTTCTGTTATCTTTTACAGGAGTTGGTTGGTAACACAGCTGAACAGAGAAATTGGCGTGGAATAGCCATTGCCTTGCTAGTTATAGTTGTTGTCTGTGCCCTTATTGTTACTGCTGTTATCCTTGTTACTCCTAGTAAGTATCATTTACATTAAATGTGATTTTCCTTAAGCATAAACCGTCTAAAGAACTGGATCTGTTCTAGATCATTGCTGCTACTCTATGAAAATACATTATTGCAAATTAAATGGTCCATTTAGAAATTTGCACTAGTTTTACATGACACCAAAAAACTTATAAAGTCTTTTATTATTTATGTATAAAATTTGATTCTAACCTTTACAGAAGTGGTAGATGAAGATTTGGGTGAACTATTTACATTAGATGACTATTTTGATAAAAATTATAAACCCAAAACATTTCATTCTACTTGGATCAGTGGTAAGTAAGTCTGTCCATATAGCAAGTTTTGTTATCGGTTGCACTTGAGATCTTCATTTTGATTGCATCTGTAGTCATAAAGAACATCATTACAAATTGATAAAAATGCAGATTGAATATGCAGTGCAAAAGTAAAGTAAAGCCTGTCAGTAATGAAAGTCAGAGAGATGCCCCAACAGTTGAGATCTAAAAGAGTAGGCACCCACTTCAACTGAGGTCAATTCTTAGAACAATTATTTCTAAAATTGCTTAGCTTACTGGATGCTATTCAAATATCATTGCTGTTTTTTGTTGTTGAGTTATTGGACAATAGTCAACAGAGTGGGTACCTTTATCTCTTGTGAGATATAATTGATTTTCACATTTCACTTTGTAGATGATAAATTTCTGTATCGAAATGAAGAAGGAGCACTGTATGCATACGATTGTACAAAGAATGCCACTACACTTATTATGGATAACACCACCTTTGTAAGTTTTAAATGTTTTATTTAATTACGAAAAAATATCAGTTGTGCTTCAGACTGGTCATGTTTAAACAAAATTGAACAATCGGAAATTGAAGAAAGAGTATGTATGCAAATTTCACTGTTCAACCAAAATTCTTTATTTCACTGACTCAGTATTTCACTGACTCAGTAAGTCAAGTACTTTTTTTTCAAAAGATTTTGTAAAGATCTTTAAATACTCATAAAATAAATACCTAAGTTGGCCATTGCTGAAATCTTAAATGTATCTAGTACATATAACGAATATATTAGTTTAAAGTCCAGTTGTAATCCCAGCATCACTATGAATTTATCTAAATGTATATACCATGCATGTATGATTAAAACCAAGAGCCTAAATGAAATGAAACCGAGTCAAAGAAACCTCTATGAATATAAGAATTATTTTAGGAAAGAAATGACTTCCTGAAAATACTCTTTCTTAGGTATGTGGCCTGACCGGTTTTGTTCTGGTTGGAACTCTTCAGGGGCATTGAGGCAAAAGTGAAAACCTCACCTCTATATATAGCTATAAATGGAGACTGCAATATGTCGGAGAATCAAAACACTCCCTTTACATAAGACTAAAAGAACATCGTGCCAACATTTGGCTGAACAGACTCGCACCAGTCAGTAAACACTTCAATAAACCCGGCCATGGCCCAGATCCTTTCTTTGTCCATCTAATCAGAATCATAAACCATGACCCTGATCTAGATACGACCACCAAAGAAAGAAGCAGAACCAAACTGCATTGGATCCACTATGACACCACTAGGCATAAATGAAGTCATCTAGCTTCCCTACCATCACTGGTCACCCTAATTCTCTATGAATACAATGTAATATTTATATAAAATTTTGTCATATTGGAAATATATACTTGTCAATCACAATTTAGTTAAAAGTAGGCCTAATATTTCACCTAAATAGGGAACTCATTGAATATATTATGTATATATAAAATATAATCATATTGTAAATATATACATGTTTACCACAATTACCTTGACTGTAATTTTTCACCTAAAACAATTATAAATTAACATCTGTAAATATACTTTGGGCCGCAAGATGTGAATAAACTATTATTATTATTATTATTAATCTTAATGATTTGTCTCAATTGTTCTTTAATTTTGTTACAGAGACAGTTTGATACACCTCATTTTACCCTATCAGCAGATCGACAATATGTCCTCCTTAAATATGACTTAGCTCAGGTAACTTCATTGTTATTTCTTTCTAGCTTTGTTCAACAGATCAAAGTCTTGGACCAGTTTAGTTGAGTATAGCATGTGAATCAATCAAGCTTTTTGATTATTCAAGAAATGACTTGAACATTTTTTCAGTTTATCGACTTATAGTGGAAGTGTTTTATACATAAGTGTACACAGGTTTTTTCTGTTTGTACATCTATAAACTGAAACAATGTTCAAGTCATTCCTTATGATTAAATCAACTCGATAACGTGTTTAAATATTTATCTATAATAGTTAGAATTTAAGGCCATAGATGGCGCATAAATACATAAGATTTTAACATAACATTGAACTGATACTAACAATAGAGATGTCCTAGAGAACAGCCAATCAGCAATAAGTAGGTCACATTATTTATGCATGTTGACGGAGCGGCCACATTGAAAGTTCAATTATTGAAAGACGAGTTCGAAATAAGTGAACATTCTAGGGAATTTGGAAAATACCGTAATCATTCAGTGAAATGTTGATTTCGGCTCTGTTGACGTTCGAAGGAACGACATTGACGTCGTGTGGTGGCCACATCAATCAAACTCAATGAAAAAGTAGTCCGTTAAGGGGCAGAGCTTAAATTTACATTCCGTTTACACAGATATAACCGACCACTGTTATCCAAGCAAATTGCTTGATGGAATCATGATTTAATTATTATTTCTTGTTTCAAGTCAGTTTTAGGTGTATGTGCCTTTATCACTCATAGAATTCATAATAATATTTTTCCCTCTTTTGATAGGTTTTCAGACATTCCACTATAGCTTCATATGTAGTTTACAACATTAATACAAAGTAAGTTTAAAAAAGTGTAAATTTTAAGTTTCTGTTACAGCTATGACATGGGGCATGCATACTATTGTTGTATAGATTTGAATTGTTATTATTTGACTATATTTGTATATTGTTATTTGTTATCCAATGGCTCTAATGTACTATTTCAGTGCTCATGAAAGAGGCACAATTATTGCAAGTTGAATTGGATTGAGGTTTTGTTCTATTGTCTTCTGAAGTTATATCAGTAATTGCAGTAAAAGTTATATAAATTGTATTTATTTTAGAGATCCATATGATTTGAAAGGTCCACAAGGAGATGATAAGATCCAGTATGTCACCTGGGCTCCCAAAGGACATGCCCTGGTAAGTAGATTCTCCTTCTGTTAAATGACTTCTCTACTGGTGCAGCTCAATTTCACTCATTGAGCTGTAGGAATGACAGATTATGTACAAATAAGTCTAATTAGATATACATGATAACAAAATAATCATGTTTTATAAATCTGATATTTTAGACATTTATACAAATTATTACTAAATTTTATAAGTCTCATATACTGTATCAGATATTTATACAGAATAATAATATTTTTTATAAATCTGATATTTCAGATATTTATACAGAGTATTAATGTATTTTATAAATCTGATATTTCAGATATTTATACAGAATAATAATATTTTTTATAAATCTGATATGTGAGATATTTATACAGAATAATGATATTTTTATAAATCTGATATTTCAGATATTTATACAGAATAATAATATTTTTATAAATCTGATATTTCAGGTATTTTTCCAGAATAATGATATTTTTATAAATCTGATATTTCAGATATTTATCCAGAATAATAATATAATTTTTTAAATCTCATATCAGATGTTTATAAATGATACAGAATGATAATATTTTTATAAATCTGATATTTCAGATATTTATCCAGAATAATAATATATTTTTTAAATCTCATATCAGATGTTTATAAATGATACAGAATGATAATATTTTTATAAATCTGATATTTCAGATATTTATCCAGAATAATAATATATTTTTTAAATCTCATATCAGATGTTTATAAATGATACAGAATGATAATATTTTTATAAATCTGATATTTCAGATATTTATCCAGAATAATAATATATTTTTTAAATCTCATATCAGATGTTTATAAATTATACAAAATGATAATATTTTTATAAATCTGATATTTCAGATATTTATACAGAATAATAATATATTTTTTAAATCTCATATCAGATGTTTATAAATACATAATGATAATTTTTTTTATCAATCTGATATGTCAGGTATTTATACTGAATAATAATATATTTATAAATCTGATATTTCAGATATTTATACAGAATATTAATGTATTTTATAAATCTGATATTTCAGATGTTTATACTGAGTATTAATGTATTTTATCAATCTGATATGTCAGGTATTTATACTGAATAATAATATTTTTATAAATCTGATATTTCAGATATTTATACAGAATAATAATATATTTTTTAAATCTCATTTCAGATATTTATAAATACAGAATAATAATATATTTTATGAATCTGATATGCGAGATATTTATACTGAGTATTAATGTCTTTTATAAATATGATATTTCAGATATTTATACAGAATATTAATGTATTTTATAAATATGATATTTCAGATATTTATACACAGTATTAATGTATTTTATAAATATGATATTTCAGATATTTATACTGAGTATTAATGTATTTTATAAATATGATATTTCAGATATTTATACAGAATAATAATATTTTTATAAATCTGATATTTCAGATATTTATACATAGTATTAATGTATTTTATAAATCTGATATTTCAGATGTTTATACTGAGTATTAATGTATTTTATAAATATGATATTTCAGATATTTATACAGAATATTAATGTATTTTATAAATATGATATTTCAGATATTTATACTGAGTATTAATGTATTTTATAAATATGATATTTCAGATATTTATACAAAGTATTAATGTATTTTATAAATCTGATATTTCAGATATTTATACAGAGTATTAATGTATTTTATAAATCTGATATTTCAGATGTTTATACTGAATATTAATGTATTTTATTAATATGATATTTCAGATATTTATACAGAATAATAATATATTTTATAAATCTGATGTACAAGCTGTACCTGTTATAATAGCTGACGGGGGCATACCTGGTGAAATATATAATGGTGTACCGGACTGGGTATATGAAGGTAAGAGGTCTAACATATATTTTCTTACGAAATCTCATTAATGAAGGATAAGGATATATGATCATACAAAATTAAACAAATAAAGATAACTGTGTTGACTGTTGTATATTGTTAAAAAAAACTAATTGCAATGTAATAGTATTGAAAAAACAAATGTATGTGTTTTCAAACTGGAGCCGTGGCTTAACTTAGTAAGGTGCTAATCAGTAGGATTTAATACTCTATAACATTTCCTCTATTGTAGAAGAAATATTAAGTACAGATAATGCCATGTGGTGGTCACCCAATGCCACATTTGTTGCCTATGCTGTAATTAATGATACCAGGGTACCCAAATACTACTACCAAATATATGGTAATTTAGACAGTGCTTATGGAGAACTTGCCAGTATTGCTTATCCAAAGGTAAGTGCCAGTGGCTTATGTAACTAGTGACTAACTAACTATGACTTAGTCAGTTAAACATTTCAAAATTTTAGCTTAGTATGGCAAATGATAAGGATATTTTCCCCATGTTACTGTATTCCATACTTTTCATAAGATTAAAATTGTCAATGTTCTTCATTATGTTCTCTTTTGCAGCCTGGATTTCCTAATCCTACAATCAACATTAAGATTGTCAGTGTTCTTCAATATTTTCTCTTTTACAGCCTGGATTTCCTAATCCTACAATCAACATTAAGATTGTCAGTGTTCTTCATTATGTTCTCTTTTACAGCCTGGATTTCCTAATTCTACAATCAACATCAAGATTATCAATGTTCTTCATTATGTTCTCTTTTACAGCCTGGATTTCCTAATCCCACAATCAACATTAAGATTGTCAATGTTCTCAATAAGAAAACGGTGGAGATTGAACCTCCGTTGAGTTTTAAAAACATGTAGGTTTACCAATTTTTTTATGCTTCCTAGTGCTTTGTTCATGATATATTGACACTTATAGTGGCATTGGAAAGAAGAAAAAGCTGGCCATGGGTTAGGACTGAAATGTTTCATTTGCAAACTTTATTGAACTATTTGGGTTTCAAATATTTGATTTAATTACCCTAAGGTGCATTGTATCACGAATACAGGTTTTGACATGGTCTTATCTTGTACTGAACTAAGCCCACTACACTTCGGTTTGTAGGGGTGGAAATCAGATTGGTGCTAATGGAAATGAGGTCATGTAGACAAAACGCAGCAATGCTTTGCCGCCGCTCGTTTGAAGAGATAAGAACACAGAGAAAGTATGACGAATGGGGGTGTGGTTTGGACAAGATGACTTAGGTCATGTCTCTCTCATTAATGCTACTTTACAGATAATTTAGACTGTCATGTCAAATTTCCTTCTTTTAAACTATTTCCTATAGAATAAAGATATAGAAAAAAGTAGCTAAAATAACACCAAAATAATAGTTTCTTATGATGAAGATCTGTTTTTCAGAGAACATTATTTTACATCAGTGATATGGAAAGATGACCAATCTATCATTGTTTCATGGTTGAACAGACCCCAGAATCAGTCCATTGTAACAATATGTGATGTTTCTGGTACTTGTAAAGAGGTAAGCTCATTTTGTTTTACTAAAGTAAGTTTAAATTCTCTTTGAACATTGAGTGTCAGATAATAAAATCTTCTGTGACATCATTTGGACATGATCTGTAGTGTGTATGAATTAAATTGTGTTGTAAATTGAATGACTGCTTATTTCCAAAGGATGAAGATGTATTTTGTGAATCTCTTCTATTTGGTGGTGAATATCAAGTTCTCAGAAATATAAAGTTTGAAGAACCAAGCCTATGTTTTAGTTAAACTTGTTTTTTTGTTTTACAGAGCACAAGAGAAGATGGACATGGTGGCTGGGTGAGCATGGTGAGTTTTATTACTATATTTTTTTACCTTGCCGTGTGTACATTTTATTTTGATAAAACATCAAAATTATGATAGTTTGAAGGGTCAATCTAAAGTCAAAAACCAATACCTTTCACAAACAAATGAGTGACATAATAATATGATCTTATTATTTGTTGCAGACGGGTGCTCCAATAGTTTCACGAGATGGTTTAAGATATTTTATGATTTTACCACAAAAAGATGCAGATGCTGGGTATTTTAATCATGTAGCCATGTTGGAAAAGAAGGTAGAGTTAATGTAGTATAATTAGTGTTTAGTTACTGTGATAGTCACTTGTTGAGATTGCACACCAAATTTCGAAACAACACATTAAATGCAACTTTTGTAGTAGTACGAGGGACTGATTTTGACCCATTTCGCTTGTTTTGGAGTTTGAATTTTAGAATATTTGCACTGTGAATCAAAATGGCTCAATGAAAGTTGAAGTTAAGTATAATGATAACATTTGAATTTTGATTTCAGAGTGGTGGTTATCGAAGGATATTTTTAACACATCATAGATGGGAGGTAACAAAGATATTAGCATATGATCAGGAATTAAAGTTAGTTTATTATATTGGTACCGGTGGAGATCCTCGACATCGTCATCTCTATAGGTAATATTTCTTTTTTTCGGGTGTAGTAATAGCAGATAAAGATTTCTTTTAACCAAGATCTTCACTAAGTCATGATAAAACCCCATGTTTAGAATTTGTTGGTCAAGTATGTCCATAAATTAAACATTCTCAATATTTTTGATAAAAATTAGGGCTTATTTTTGTGTGCAGCAAAGTTGATTTCTGTTCTCTGAAAAATATTAAACAATTTTTCGCCATGATTTTGTAGTGACATCATATGTTGCTGAGATTTTCCAACATTTTGTTTTCTCCGTATATTTCAGCGTTAATTTGGAACATCATTCAACATGTTTAACATGTAGTTTAAATTCTGATTGTCAATATGTATCAGCTACCTTCAGTTCTTCGACACGATATTATCTATTAAATTGTCTGGGACCAGGAGTACCTTATACTACCCTACGATCTGTAGCTGGAGCTCAGGGTAAGTGATGATCTGAATCCTAGTACTCTATCGCTTTTCATCAGTCTTTCTTTACCATGGTTTATACAATGGTCTGTTCAAAAATATTCCTATATAGCAAGTTCAAGTATTACATTTTTCATCTTGTCACCAGACTACCTAGTGAAATCTTTCAGACGTTATGTCTTTTTCTGATTTAAATACATCAATATTTTATAAAATACTACAAAAATATTTGTCATATATATGAAGATTGAATGGTTATTTATCATTTTTAGTGGCTACAATGGAAAACAATACAATGTTGAGAGAAAAATTATCTAAGAAAGCTTTACCAAGGGTTGAATATGTACAGATAGAGGTTGATAAAGGATACAGTAAGTTTATGAGATTTGAAACTTTTTTGATAAGAAATCATTTAAGATGACAAAAATGTAGAAGAAAACAATTTAGGAACTGCACTCTGAAATAACTGTAATTAGAAACAACCTAGAGTGTCTTGAGCAAACATATATACTGCCTTTTTATTGATTCTGTCACTCATGTGTATAGTCTTACCAATATATGAGTCTTTGAAAAAAATACCTTTTTAGCTGATCAAAATAAGACTTTTGCTTATTTTTCACAGAAATTTGGGGAAAGATGTTATTACCACCAGTACTAAAGAAAGATGAAATTACGAAATATCCGGTAGTTCTACATGTGTAAGTATAAATAATAAAGTACTCAATTCTGCATTCTGCAACTTCACAAAAAGTTTTAATGAAGTAGATCATGTGTGGCTTTAGCTGTGCTTATGGATATGCATATGTCATCATAGATGGCATTTCTACCATTTCGACAAAAGTGTCCTTTCTTGGTATAGCCCTCTTTTAACACAAGGCTTAATTTTACAGGTATGGAGGTCCAGGGAGTCAAAGAGTAACAGAGAAATTTTCAATTGGATGGGAGACATATTTAACTAGTTCTCAGGAAATGATCTATGTGTATGCTGATGGACGTGGTTCTGGTGGTCGAGGACAGAAATTTTTACATCAGATCTACAGAAGATTTGGTACTGTGGAGGTTGATGATGCCATTGCTGCGGGAAAGTAAGTTGCAATTTTTAAAAAACTCATTCATCCATCTCTAGTAAGAGCTGGACAAAGTATATTTTTGGGTGTAAATTTGAAATTTGAAGTAGACGCAAAAAGATACTTTTTTTTCCTTATCTTTCTATGGATCTTTTGTGGTTTGAACGGCCTTAACATGCATTTGTTGATCTTTACTTGAAAGATTTCCTAAGAATATAGAATCGTATGTGTTTCATATTGCAGTAACATAGTAAGCTTTGAAATGGTACTTGGATTAGTTTGTTGATCATGATAAATGATTTCTCTCCTCTGTTTCTTTCAGGCATTTTTCCAAGTTACATTATGTGGATGATAAAAAGGTGGCTATATGGGGATGGGTAAGTACAATTTAATCTTATTTAATCTACGAAAGTTACAAAAGAGTTTAAATAGATGTCTAAAAGGCTTTCTTTCAATATTCCTTTTTATACGCCCACATCTCTCTATGTGGACGTATATTGTCGGCACCCTATCCATCCATCCGTCAACATTTGCATGTAAACGCTCTAAAAACTAGATTTTTTGATGGAATCAAATGAAATTCGGTATGTGTATACATATCCATAAACGAAGATCAAGTTCGAATTTGAGCTATTTTCGACCGTTAGAAGCAGAGTTATTGCCCTTGCCCCAAAATCTTGAATATGCTATTACTCTCTTAGTTTTCAACTGATTCTAATGAAACTTAAAATGGATGTTGTTGGACCTAAATCGAAAGGTTTGAGAAAGTTTACTTCTGATTAAATTCAAGGCTTTTTCAAGATTTAGGCCTCTTACGTCAGTTTTGAGGAGTTATCGCCCTATAACCTCTAGTGCTTCTATCAACATCAATTGCTCGTAAACGTTCTAAAAACTAGATTTTTTGATGGAATAAAATGAATTTCGGTATGTGTATACATATTCATAAAACGAAGATCAAGTTTGAATTTGAGCTATTTTCGACTGTTAGCAGCAGAGTTATTGCCCTTGCCCCAAAATCTTGAATATGCTATTACTCTCTTAGTTTTCAATCGATTGTGATGAAACTTAAAATGGATGTTTCGTTTTTACCATCCGCATGCCATGAAGGGCGTATATGGCTGTGGTCCACTATCTTTTGAAACAAAGTAGTTAAAATGTACATTACAATTTTCTTTTCAGTCTTTTGGAGGTTTTGTAGCAGCTTCAGCATTAGGAAAACAAACAGATACATTTCAATGTGGTATCTCTGTAGCTCCAGTTACAGACTGGATTTATTATGGTATGGACTGACATTGCATTTAATTCTATTAGGATCTGACAAACGCTGTGCATTTTGTATATATAGTAATGATTTGTCCATAGGTGCTATATTACCTCTCATGATGATCTATCAAATCTTGATCATGTAATAGCTAGATTCCGTGGAATAGAGAACCACTTTATCTGTCCAGGTCCAGATTGGTTCTTTATTATCTGTATCCAGCTGGGTGGGCTGAAACAATTAGGAAAGAAGACTTATTCAAGAACTGAGAACAAGGCAACCATGCAAATGATGTCTTTTTATAATGTTAGATATATTATTATTCTCATTATGCGTTTTGATAGTATACAAGTACTAAGACTATAGATATATATGCTTCTATGTAAACTTATAAAGTATATATATATTATATCATTAGATTCAGTGTATACAGAGAGATATATGGGATTACCACGAGCTGATGATAATCTTCAAGGTTATAAAGATGCTAATGTTTCTAAAAATGTTGAAAATTTTAAAAATAGTAACTTCCTTTTAATACATGGTACTGGAGATGGTGAGTGTTTTTGTAGTTGTCATTAAATGATCCTGTTTGTGTTTTTCCAAAACTGTGCTGGCATATACCTGAACTTGTTGTCCAAACATTATAGATTAGGATGATATTATGAACTGAATGGTTGATCTATGCAGTCCTCCATTCCACGTCATGAAATAGTTTGCTGGTATTCAGAAATATTTTAAGGTGTGATGTTTCTAAAGACAATTCTTTGATCTCAAAAGTCAACTGTAATGTTTTAAGTTTTTCTCTTTTCAGATAATGTTCATTTCCAGAATTCAGCACAATTAATGAAAGCATTAACAGAAAAAGATGTTTATTATAGAACTCAGGTATTTCTCTCTTTACTCTATTTATTGACAACATTTTTTTTATAATATGTATACGACTGAATAAAAGTTGGAAGGTTACATTAAACACAGTGGCTATTTTTACGGCACTGTAAACATGAGTTAGAAGGCTATTTTTACGACACTTCCTGTCACGCCTGCACAATTAAAAAAAATTGACTTGTTTTTTCCTCTGTAGACAAAAATATTTGCACCAATTTTATGGCACAATTAAACATTGATTACTAGTATGATGGAGGTGTACATTCTCTCATGTTAGGATCTTCAGTGAGCGCAATCATATAAAAATAGGAATAACAGGACTCAGAGATATGATCATCAGAACTGACTCCAAGGGAACTGATGATGAAGAAAGTCAGGAGAGACTGTACCTGAGAACCTTTACATCTTTTTTATTTTCTGATATTTTTACTCTGCATTGTTTTCTAAGAAATTTTCTACCAAAGGCATGTCCCAAATGTAGTATTTTAAACCAATCAAACTAAAGTGTTTCATGTGAAACCCAATAAAATAAAGAATTGTGAGATAGCGAAACCCAAAGTAGAGTTATTTCTGGCTCCCAGGTTTTTAGCAGCTTAATGATCGCCAAAACTGATGTATTTTGCACCAGAAGTAGAAATTAGTTCTGGACCGTCCAATTTACATTAATTTTAGATGTCCTTATTGTCTTCTAATATAAATTTTGAAATGCGCAGGCTTGAAAGGAAGTGCTGTAAAAATAGCCAGTGTGTACATTAAAACACTATGATATATACATATATATATATATATAAGTTCAGAAGTAGAAATATTAAAACAGAACCTAAAAAGAAATGTTGTTACTCAGAGTTTCACGCTATGCGATCTTTAGACTGACCTGACTGGTTTCAAGTTTGTTTCTTTAAATTGCATCGTACTAGAGCAGAGTAACTTTCTTTTAAATCTTTTCTGCTTACTAAATCATGCTTTCCAGGGTTTTGATATCAAATACTTTCTTTTCAGCTTTATACAGATAAACACCATGGTTTATTGGGAGGCAACACACGTCACCATTTTTATGAAACTATGGAAGACTTTTTATTTGAGTGCTTTAAAGGCTATTCACAAAAACATGGCAAAGAACCTCAACCTGTTGAGAAAAAACCCCAAACATTATAAAACTGGACAGCTTTGTTCATTTTAAGTGCCAATGTTATTTTGAATTACTTTGATGTATACTTCCTGCTGACCAACCTTTACTTCATGTTGCTATGGTGTTGGAGTTGACATCTGGATGTGAATTATCTGTGTTGCCATAGTGATATGACAAAAATAGTGTTACCATGGTGATGTTATGATGACAAAAATATCATGGTGAAATGAATAATAATGATGATATGCTGATGTGAATGACTTTGTCTTCTTGGTGATGTGAACAATAGTTTTGTCATGTCAATGTAATTAATAAGGAAGAGCCCTATTATGTTGCCATGGTGAAAACATCATCGAATTTTGTCAGGGTGTTAACAACATAAAGTGATGTTGTTGGGGTGTTAACAACATAATGTGATGTTGTAAGGGTTATTATAACATTAAAGGACTTGTATAAGCTAGGTCAAAGAGAGAGAATCGAGGGAAGTTACAATAATTGTACACCACCTCTAAGTATCACCTTAGAATAATAACAGCTCTTATCAAAATAATGAACTGTTCCATAGAATTCACCTTGAAATCTGAACACAAGTGTTGCTATGGCAACAGCTATTTGGAATTGTGACTTGATGCTGTTAGTACTTTACTAATTAGAGAGCAATTGCCTTAAACTATCTTAGTAGTTTTGATCTAGTGTTAGTTACAGGTATGCTGTAGAATATTTACCACAAAGGGGAACATAATAAGATGAGTGCTACAAGTTTGTCAGAACTTACAGTGAAAGTTTGAAATAATAGTCTTGAATAATGATCCATTAAAAAAATTACTACATAGTTTATTTCTGTGACCATTATTATGTGAAGCAACTGGTATTGGATACAGTGAATATAGATGGACCTCATCCTAGTAAAAGATTAGACCAGTAATACACCAGAACACCAGTACTCAGTCATCTAGATAGATATGATCAAAAAACTTTAAGAATAATACAATAACTTGTTGTTAATGTTTGTTGTGTATTGTTATGTGTATAGATGAGTAATAATATTATAGTGGCTAATTCAAAATGGCTGTGATGTAAAATTTTATTCAGGAATATCTTGTGGTTATAGAATTAATTGTGATTTGTCTTGCATATTTTTTATCTTTCTTTTTTTCTATTTTAATGGCATAATCTGTATTCAGATATAATACTTAGCAGAGACTAATCTAACAACTAACTGAACCATCCCACTATCTGGGAGGAAGACCCATAGGGTTATTATAAAAAAAACTCATTTAACTCTTTGATTAAGATGTAAATTGACAAGGTTCTGTGTCTGGTGCAGGATTATCAATTCAGCAGAAATAGTAGATACGGTGCATTTGTTTCTTCTATTTTCTTCTGTATAGATAACCCCACACTAGACATTGCTGCCACTATCATCACCCTAACAAATCTATAAAATTTTATTAGACCATTTTCAGCCTTTAATTTCATGCATTTTTTTATGAATAATTATAAATAATATGTTCATGTTTATTTTGTCTCTTTTAAGTGTTCACATGAATTGTTTTAATAAGCTTATATCTTAAATTATTTGTAAATAATTTCAAAATTTTTTAAATTTCAAAATTTAAATCGAATTACTTTGGTTTCTTTTGCAGAATTACAGTTTAGAATCACTTAAGATTATGTGAAACACTTCATAAACCTCTATTGACTTAGTAATTCTACCATAAAATTCAAATTGATAAAGATAATTGCATGTTTGTAGAAAATCAAATTCTGAGCCCATTTTAAAGACCACAAAATAAAACTTTGTAAATATTGTAAATAGTTTTTAATCCATTTGAGTGATACTTTTTCTTTACACAAATTCACAGTTGTATAAATTTTTAATCTTTTCAAAATTTTCCATTCAATAAATTGAGACTTTATTGCACCAATTATTAAATAGTATTTTTGAGTGAGAGAATGAATGAATAAGTGATTGAAGAATATTAATGAGTGAGGAAAAGAATCTGTGTATGTGTTACAAGTTATTTCCTGTCTGATTTCACAAAATGTGTGTACTTTACAGGGACCTTTTTTCCCATACTTGAATTTACATTTACTATTTTCTTTGGGCAATATATTAATCTTTTGTCCTATTTCCTCTTTTCTTTTCATTGCAAAATAATTTAAACTGGTAAATTATGCCATTAGTTGTTACACATTTAGAGTTTAATCAGTATTTAACTTTTTAATATAGTAGAAAATATTAAGATATAGCAGATAAACCACTTGAATTATTGTGCTTAAAATTATTCAGACCAAATCTTGTGACAAACCAGTACTTTAAGACTTTTGACACTTGTCACATTTTTACTTCTCAAAATCTTACCACAATTATATTCTGTTATTGTCAAATTATCCTTTAAATAAATATTTCAAATTAAAGACTTTTTTATTGCACTGCAAGATGTTTAACATCCAACATGTACCAATTCCAATTTAAGCTTGACTGACTTGAAGGTGAGGTCAAAAGGAAAATTATCATTTCATAATTGAATCCATTCTCTATGAAGCCAAGAAAATGTAGTAACAGGAAATAAATATATCCCCCTGTCAGTGATGCAGATTGGGGGTGACAACACACAGGCCCTGTGTTCTGTGCAGTTAAAGATTGAAAAAGAGTATCTTTACTTGCTGTCCTGGCCAAATTGGTGAGGTCAAGTAGCCAATAAGGTGACTTCATTATATGGAGTATCTTTACTTGCAGTCCTGGCCAAATTTCCCTCACTGCATACTGCATAGCACGTTCATTTCAACTAAAGGTATTATAACTCTAAATTTTATATTCAAATGGTAATTGATCAACATAACCTGATGTAAAATAATGGTATAATAAATAAAATTATGGATTTTCAA